TATTTTCGTCCAGTGCTTTATAGTATGTCTCAATAAACTGATAGAGGGATTTGAAGACTGGTTTCATCATACTGTATTCTAAAGGTACATGTATGCATAAAATGTGAGTTTACAGAGTGTTAAATATTTTTGAAGAGAGTTTAAATCAGAATGATGATATCCCCGGGAATATCATTGGCTTGATCCTCGGACTATGATATACCGCCAACCATCATTGTGGTTGCAAACCCCAGATGTATAGACTCTGTGGTAGCGCATGGGTTCATGGAGTGACAATGCAATATCACGCATGAGGCGTTTGAGTTAATCCAAGAACTAACGTCATGCTGGGTCAAACAGAGCGTGTTATTCCATAGAATTTCTGCCAGATGTCTTCAGAATATGGGAAGCCATTTATATCGCTTAATAAATTGTGTTTGTAAAAGACATGCGTTGTATTTTCCAATATCTCATTTACTTTAAATATTAGAGCTTGAAAATTGCTCATATTGCTGGTAAGTGAATTAGTTGCCTTTTAAAATTCTGTTTAACAGTCAGGCCGCGTAAGCGTGGACTTTTAAAGGAATATTCCTTGCCAAACCATCTCTCTCCTCATATGGTAGCTGTAACCATATATATGCTTGCTATGTTTAGCAAAACAAGCAAAAATGTTTTGATATGGTCAAATTTGATCACTTAGAAATGTGATGCTAAATTCCAGTAAGCTGCCATCTTTTAAAATTTCACACAGGAAGTGATGTCATCGACTCTCAACTTTGCATATAGCATTAGGCGAGGAGCTATTAAGAATTACAAAACCAGCTAAATATTCTTTTTCAACTTTGTATCTTATTTAATCCTTCTGAAAATCTCTTCTTTTATTCTAAGTTGACAAGCCCTGAAAATATTTTTGCACAGAAAGTAATGATCACTTGTCTAGAAGTGATTTTGTGCTACTTTCCTATACTGTTATGGGCAAGGTTATAGAAGTTGAGAGTTGATGACATCACTTCCTGCAAGAAATCTTAAAAGATGGCAGCTCACTGGAAATAAGCACTAGATTTTTAAATGATCAATATTGACCATATTAAAACATTTTCCCATGTTTTGCTAAATATGGAAACTATATATATGATTATAGCTACCATATCAAGAGAGAAATGGTCTGGCAAGGAATATTCCTTTAACTCTGAAATTTTGGAAAAGAAGGTTTTATGCTGCAAAGTGCAACTTAAATAATGTTACTTTTGTGGTATAAACGGAGCCATTTAGATAATCAGTCTCGGGATTTGTGGGTGTGTGTTAATTGTAATGATTTGGCCGCACCACAAAAAAATATCAGAAAAAGAAGTTAATCTAATCCATAAAACGGGCTAAGAGCAAGATATTAAAAACTTAAAACTAGTTAAAATCGAAGGAATTGAAAAAAGTGAAACTTTGTGATAGTTAGAAGGTAAAGAGTAATGCAAAAAACGTTTCAAATGACGTATCTAATAAATAACAATAAAACGTACAATTTGTGTGAAGACAGTTTAGTCGAGGTTCAATCAAAGCATTACATATAACAAGTTTTTGGGGTAAATGGTATCTGCAGCGTAAATATTGTATTTTTTCTTAGTAAAAATACTATTTTTTATTTGTGAGAAAAACAATATTTTCCAAAATATTCTAAATATTATATTTTTACGCAGCAGTTTCACCCGTAGCCAATCCATATGAACGTCATCTCTGTCCAAGTAAGTAGTGCAATATTGAGGGTATCACAACACTATTTAGAACGACCGCAAACCTACTTAGGAACACGTGATATCAATTAGATAAAACCAGATGTACATGTAGGGGCAATGCTGATGATACTAATACTATTTATTGATCATTGGCATTCCCATAAATTTATACATAGTGGAGATAATTAATTAGAAAATAATTATGAGTATTGACTTCCGAAATGCATCTCCATATTTGCCCATCAAGCGATTATATTATACTATTAACATGAAATCAATGGCGGAAAGAGAAAATGTGCATACCTACGAGGGGTGATCAATAAGTAATGGACGCTTTTTTACACAGATGCTTTTTATAGACCAATCCCTTCGATTTTCTTACCAGTGATACATCATTCAATTATCTATCAACTCTGAAGATTTGAAGACAAAATATATAATACATTTTGATATATCCTCATTTCCGTGAAGGAGGTACAGGTACCCCGGGACCGACATTTACATCACATATTCTGAAGCTATTGTAGCTTGTTTAACATGCAATGCAGTTGAATGCAGGCTGAATAAAACAAACCATTATGGACATGAATTACCCCATTTTGTTATGCCATAGTTGATTTTGAATATTTTATCATCACTTTGTGGTATTCATGCCACATTCATTCCACAGGGCCCTCTAAATAGGTTCCATCAAGTGCTACATGTACACAATTCCTCATCCTCTTAACTCAAGATTGTGAGACAAGGCTGAATCCATTCTCTGACATGGTAGCAAGATGCAGTTGCACGGGTTGTTTTCTTTAATCAATGTTAATAAACCTGCGTCCTTTCTCGATAGAAATAAGTAGTATAGAAATAAACAAGTCACATGTGAGCAGATGTGGACAATACAGTGCATTGGCCAAGGGCTCAATTTTGAGGTCCAGGGATATTATTTTCTGAACATTTTGAGATCTGTGGGCAGGTGCATTGTCCATATGGAGTAGGGTGTTCCCTTCTCTCACCACCCCTTTCTTCCACAATGCTTTCTCAAATTGACCTGCAAACCCCTTCCATACAACACTCTGATATTACAATACTTTCTGTTTATGTGCTACCAGTCAGCAAAAATTTCAAACAATACAACACTTGTTGCATATAAAAAGTTCAAATCTAACTCAAATTTACCAAACTGGCTAAAAACGGAATATGTGACGTAAATGTCGGTCCCGGGGTACCTGTACCTTCTTCATGGAAATGAGGATATATCAACATGTATTATATATTTTGTCTTCAAATCTTCAGAATTGATGGATAATTGAATGATGTATCACTGGTAGGAAGATCAAAGGGATTGGTCAATAAAAAGTATCTGTGTAAAAAAGCGTCCATTACTTATTGATCACCCCTCGTATTTTATACTTGCTTGGGACTATTTATAAACGCTAAAGATGTAGTCGTAACAATGTTATTTTGCACTAGATATATGATTTACCTCCTCCCCTTGTGCCCTATTAAGCTCTGCAAAAAATGTACCATAGAACTGAAACGAGAATGTGGATGCCACATACTTTGTATGTTTACTTTTATTATTGCAACTGTTTCATCTGACTCTGAAAATAAGTATTGATAAAAATGACTGTGGAAATATTTACACACGTGCTTTTGTTTCGTCTTGTGCAAATTCTTAATTGAAATGTCAACTGTTTTTTCATTCAGAATGAAAATACGCCCCTCTCAAAAAGTTCGGGGGCACCAAATCCACCATTGTCTTAAAATAACCAAAGTTACCGTAATATGTGTTCCATATGGCATGACAAGTGAGTATAAATGACTGTTAAAATCTCAGTTCCATTAATATTGTTTGAGAAATTATTTGATATACATTTTTATAATTAGATTTAATTGTATTTGGTATTTTATATTTTGTCAAAATACGCTAGAACTTGGCATTGATGATATATTCAAAACAATAGAAAAATGGCTTCCATCCTTTCGCAAAGTAAAACCTGGTGTACTTTAATGTCACGACTGTTAATAAATATTTATAATGAATTTCAGTTGTTACAAGTAACGTTAAGACTGCCACATGTTTAGAGCGCGTCTTCCATCAAAATGATTGCATTCACAATAAATAATCCCTCAAATTGTCTATTTTTGTTTGAAACTTATGGAAACTAAGCAAGCTTGTGTATCCCGGTTCAGACCTATACTTTTACATTATAAACCCATCAATGATAGATTTGGAAAGATGGGAGTTGTACTTTGACATAAGGTTCGGGTTAAGCAAGGAAGATCTGTTGAATACATCCAGATAAACAGACCCTTTAAGCTTATTAAACTTTCTGGTGATGGTTTAACTATTCGCGATAGTGAACGAAAATGAGAACAATATGTTTTCGACAGAAACAATGTTTGGCCCCATACAGAATTCTGAGAAAAAGCTGCAATTTGCAACAAACAACAGTCTGAGCGTTTAACCACCAGTTCTCCAATTATTCGATGAAGTCATCAAAGAAATATGTTTTTGTATCTTACTTCATGAATATCTTACAAACTTTAGACAAATCCTTCCATTACATTTTCGATCATACCATCTAGTATACCCCACTTAAAAAGAATATATTTTTGTAATTTTGTTTATTTTATTTTTATCTATCGATGCTCAAATTATATACAAATAAATACTATTAAATAGATACATGTACATCTAATATACACGAGAGTATGGCTTCACCGTCACTTTAATATGGCATACCTATAATTAATAATGTATTACATATTCAAACATGACCGTGCTCTATTCGAATTTCTCAACCAATCAGAATGCAGCATAGCCAATATAGAACGTTCTCTAATTCTCCATAGATGCACGACCATGCTCTATTCAATCTGCAATTTGCATTGTTTTGAGTGACGTCACATCTCAGCTGCACATCTGGGGCTCTGTCCGGGGATAGCTGTTCTTTTTTACTCCCTCCGTAACTACTGTAACTATTTAACTACTGTTTGCATACACCGTATAAAATCTAAAACGGGGAGTAAAATAGAACAGCCCAAACAAATTCTAAAATTTTTCCGGCCGACTTCAGAATCTTGACAGCATGCGTATTCTTCCTTCATGCCCGTTCCACAGACACGGCTTTTACTAATTTTTATGTTTGAATCGGAATAAATAATGATAGGCCATTCAATATGGTGAAATTCAGCACTCGTTGGACAGAATGTTAGTACAAATGCACTCACCTTCGGTTCGTGCTTTGTACAACATTCTGTCCAACTCGTGCTGAATTTCACCATATTGAATGGCCTATCATTATTTATTCCTTAAATACTCCACTTATATTTTTACTCCACAGATCAACATGAAATACTTTTATATGTGCAATATATTAATGTAAAACGTCATTGATGCAAAGCTGAGTGTTTCTGACATTCATTCTGGTTTGTGATAAATATCACAAACACACGACCACAATATTTAACAAATGATGGTTGTGATTCACATTGTGATTTACAATGTTTGTGATACACATGTTGTTTGTGATAACTGTCAAGAAGCAATAAATATCTGATCATTGCCATGATGCAAATTGTGATGTTCTTTTCTAAATTGCAATGATACGACTTTTCAGAAAAGAAACAATTAAAAGTATTCGGAATTATTTTATAACGATGAAGTTGAACAGTACAGCATAATGAAACCTTGAAATTATGATAATACTAATACATGTATACTTATAACATGGAAATGGTCTCTTACCTGAATCTTAACGATCCCAGTATAACTTATAAGCCATTATAAAAAAATCAGTTTGGTCACTTTTGGAATTTAGACAGTGTTTATAGTTTAGATTATAACTTTTCCAAACTTCTAGAGTTTGTTAAAAGTTCGCGTAGGATTCTCCACGCCTGTTTAGAAGCACTGTCCATCGAACTGTTAGATTTGCCTTTGAAAAGGTCTAGATTAGGTAGAAAGTAATGTGGGCAACGTCTGTTCTGTAAACAAGATATCAATTGAAGGAGAATTCCATTTATCCTGTCCCCCATGCACATTTCGTCCCATTCTACCTCCCGTGGGTGTTTCTCGCATTCATAGAGCAACAGTGTTTTCATGACGTAGTTTGTGATTGGTTGACTGGCGACATCTAGATGTCGGTCCCTCAGCGTTTTCAAAATGCTGAGACACTTTCGTCTGCATCCCCCTTGCAGAAGCATATTTTCTGCCGCGAGGAAGGATATCACCCAGGAATCCCCCTCTGCAGCTGACTGTTTGTCCTTCATGTACGTGCTCTCCTTGGAGAGTAAATCAAACCCTTCCGTTTTCACCTCTGCAACCAAATTTGGGTTTGGCCAAGGGACATGGGGGATTGGCCAGTGTGCTCCACTCCGGGGCCATATCCCTCCGCACCTGAACGCGGTAGTTATATTAACAACATAACGTTCTCTAATTCGTATTTTAACCTCGGTAGTATCTGCAACCATTTTAACCATGTCCCTATAGCTACATTTATCAACCGCTTGGGCTACGAGAGTCTGAAACCGCGACCTTATTTTCCTAGCGGAGAGATAACCGGAAGCGGTGATGAACTCTACCCATAGTGACATAGAGCGTTTGCGACCGTCGGAAAGTTTCAGAACTGCACATCCGGGAACTGCACCATCATCCACGAAATTAAATACGCCCATCTGGTTAAGATATAATACGACTTCAAATTCTGTTGGTGAAATAACCTCGAGGCCTTCGTAGCGATTGTTAGCTTCTGTTAGTGAGCTTATGAATCTTGGTTCTTGGACCTCAACTTCTTTTAGGACATCTTGAACCACCTTGCACACCTCTCGAACCTGGAACCATAAAAGCGAAAGTTTAGAATTATTTTTATAACAATCGTGATTTGAGATATAATGCAGTTACAATAAGAAGGCCATCAAGCCAATGAATTGACTTTCTGTTTTTGAGTTTCTGATTTTCTAAATTATATAAATAATCCATTGATTATATTCACTTTAATCATATTCGGAATTCACCATCCAAACACATCCTTGGGTATTCTAACGCATCCAGTGGTCGACACTATATAACGTTTGTACATATCCTAGAAGTAGAAGCTTCGAGGGAACTTCAAATAATTCATTACATTTTCTTTTTAATTTTTTCTAACAATCAAGCAAACTGTATCATATCTCGAAACTTGAAGGTATTCAAATATGTACAGTAATCAAAATTGTAAACAAATGCACCAATGCAAGCTTTGAATAACCGTTATCTAACTCTCAGGATAGTTCTACAAAAAATCAATGCCATTATAGTCATTATTCAGGAAGATTAATCAATGATATTTAAAATGTTACCAAATTACAGATTCCACTATTTATCAAGGTACCCCTCTGAATATTCTTATCTAGTTATTCTTCATATTTGTTGTGTTATCACGATAACACAACAAATTACGTGAGATCTCAGAATCTCACGACTAAATACTCCTAGTCAAAGTGATACCATATTAAAAGTGTTCAAAATTACATATGTTGAAACTTTGAGTTTTAGGTTTTATTATGATATAGCATTAAAAGATAAGCCATGGCCATGTTCGACCATGTGGGATATACAGCCTCTAGATATATATATAAAAAAAATTAAATTATTAAAGAAAATAAATAAAACGTAAATCTTCAGATAACTACGTGAAATCGCATTATGACGTAATAAATATATGTTATGTATATATTATATGTTCGTGTTCTCCATTTATTTTAGCTCCAAAAATATATATATACAACCTTTATCATATCCCTTTAGGTAGCAGATTCAAGATGGATATTAGTAAATTAGAATGATATATATCATACGATATGCTATTCAAAATTGCTCGAGCTGCATCTCTGGTATTTTCATTTGAGGGATCAGAGGTCAAAATAATTACAGCTGAATTTAAATTGAAATAAACAACTAAAGAAGATCAACATGTTTAAAATTGAAAAATAAATGCCATTTCAAATTTGGATAATTTAAGGAGGAGTCCGATTCTTAAGCAACAATGCTGGTAAATGGAAAATTCAGATGCTTTTGCAATACCTGATGAACATTGGATGATATTCAAATTTTTTTAAATTTTTTATATTTCCTTTATTTCATAATACATCATACAAACAGATACAGGGCCTACGCCGAAGCATATATTCAAATAGTGTTTAGATATATCATAAAGGTACGTCATAGGCATAACTATTATATAGGCATATTATAGGTTTATTATATTGGCAAATTATAGACATCTTATATTGGAATATAATAAGTTTATTATATAGGTGCATTATAGGCATATTTTAAAGGCATATCATATAGGTATATTATATTGGTACATTATAGGCATATTGTATAGGCATATCATGTATATTATATAGGTACATTATAGGCATATCATATAGGTATATTATAAAGGTACATTATAGGCATACATAGGACAGTTAGGATAATTCAAAGAATATAAGCTTTATCAGTTTTTTCTTTGATCATTCAAGAAACTATAGTTTAAGAAAATATATTTTACGTCCGAGCAGAAACCATTTTAGAAATTGTAAGGATAAATAGTGTCAAATAAAATGCAACAAGGAATGCGTTAATTATATACCTATTACCTATGCATTTTAACATACCAATATGTCTTTTATAAAATAAGAAATAACATTAAGTCATGAGTTATTTTTGATCACGCATGTATCTTATTTTCAAATTGTTTAGATATTGTAACGATATTTCTAAGCAATTGAAAATGGAAATTTTCTCATGGCAATTATAACTGTAAAAGACCTTTTCATTCTTCGCTTTATTAAAGGAGTTATGTTTATTGGGAATTTAAGTAAAACATGCGCTTTGAAAATACCACTCTCTAAAATACTCAGTCATGAAATATTCGCATTGCATGTTTTCGCTGAAACCTCCTGTAAACAAAACATGATCCTGAAATTATCCATTCCAGTTTTGATCTATTCTAAACTTTGTATACATCAGATATTCGTGCATTATACTTTAAATTTTACCACTTACGTGAATCCCCATTTATTTTTAGTTAATCGCTTTAATTAATAAGTATTTTTCGTTTTTTAGATTTGACCCCATGGGATTTTGTTTACAGGGGTGTTATCGCGGAGTCGATCAAGTCGTTCCCAAGGCTCCAGCGGTGGTAATAGGATACACCAGAGATGCTAAGTTATCAGGTAAAACGCTATGTGGAGAAGACCAACAAAAACGTAAATTAAAAAAGCAAAATTTTATTTCCAGCTTATTTTGCACTACTAAAATATATTACAATGAAGAAACGTACAAATATGAATTGAATTCATTTAAAACGCAACATGTTTCAAACTGAACATAGATATCTTTTTTGCAATCCTTTTTAGTTATTTGGCAGTCCGTAAACCAAACTGGTGATAATATTGTAAATTGTTTCCAAATATATATTCTTTGGAATTGATTTTTAAATCATTATTAAAGCATCATTTTTAATCTAATTTTATTCGTTGGACTGTCTTTGCAAACTCTGCAGGGAGCTAGTTCATCATAATTATAAATCCGAATTTATCTATAAGAATTAAAAGTTTTGTATTTAGTAATTTTCCAAATGTATTAAGAATCCTAATATCTTTATTTTATTGAGAGATATTATTCTATGTTATAAAGAAGACCCCTAGAAATGTCAAGTAGGACTATCCGAATTTTGAAATTCAAAATAAGAAAAATCAACTGCCGAAGAATGATCTTCATTGAAAAGTCCAAATATTGAATAAATCAAAACAGCACATTCTGAGATTTTCAAATATGGCTTTAATGATGTCATATTTATGGTGGAATAAAAAGATACATATACATTTATTTACCACAATGATATACAACGTGCTAGGCTCAGTTGGACTCCTCACATCCATTTTAAAAAACGATGATTAAAATGATTTGGGCAAATTAGAAAATAATTTCTCAAAATGGAGCAATTTTTGCAGCTCTAGTTATGCAGGAGGGTCAAAGAGAAGATCATTGTTACCCACCTGTTTGGAAGTGGCAGATTTACGGGCGTGCACCCTCTCATTGTAATACTTGTTCAACTGGAAAAGGAGCTTGGACTGGGCAGCCAGCATATCTGTTGTAGAGTTGTCGGGACTGTCAGGGCTTATACCATTAGTATACACCATACTGGAACAAGATGGTCGGCATCAATGTAAATAAAATGAATATTTCGGTGACTCCGCTCAGTTCTCCCCAGTTTCTCCAAGCCTCTGTTTTACTTATGTATTGTTGGAAACTAGTGTCAAATGTCTGTAACTGTATTCTCGAGTCGCTGCTTGTTTCACTTGTAGCGATCTAAGTGGCAATTACTATGGCTGGACTTCTGACGTTATCTTGATGTTTTTGAAAGTTCTGAAAAATTAGCGACAGAATATTTTCACAAAGTGAGTCTCTTGTGATAATTTTTATCCAATTTCTTGCTCGAGAACAAATGAGTAATGTACTAATGTCCACGAAGGTCAAAGTTCTCAGATGAAAACAATGTTTCTATGTGTGTTACAACAGTAGTGGAATGTGCGGCGAATACGCCACATGCGTCTGTCAGTAACAACGGTTCCAATGACAAGTTTGTCCCCACCTTAGCGTCCATAAATCCTCGCCAATTAATCCCTCACAGATCGTATTTCATTCAAAAAACCTCCAGAAATAACTATAAGTTATGAGCCAGACTCTGGATAGAGTGTCCCATACGATGATTAATATCTGGTTTTGTCCCGGGTTTTGTGTTCAATTTTCAAGTGTTTTGTGACTCCAAATATTTTGTCTTTTACTCCAGATTATATCAAGCTTTACCAAGTGGTTGATCTCTATAAGTCTGCCGTTTAAGTTATCTGGTAGTACAGTGGCAAATCTTAACTCAAAATGTTTCTAGTTAAGATCAAGTAGAGCTATTTGATTTCAATGTTTTGGTCTTCTGGCTTATCAAGTCAAGCTGGGTAGAATTGTAGCCTATATGTTGTTAAATGTAAATAAACAAAGGAAGTGTTTCTGAACGCTCTTGAAATCTGGCAATAATAGCTTCCACTGGGTGGAAAATCTTGGCAAATTTCAAACAGCTGTGCTTTAACTAGTCGGAATTTTTCAATTCTAACCCTATGGTTTTGGAGTCGAGTAGATTTGTGTCTCCTCGATTTTTTACAGGATTTCTTAAATAGCAGGATAACGATGTTCTGTTGTTACAAGCGTTGTAATTACCTCTTAGTAAAATAGTAGTTAAGTCCTGTTGCGTTTCGTGCTTGAAAAGTCTCAGATTTCTTTATTTTAGATAAGTCCCCTGGACGTCTCAACTTGAAGTTCACAAGGTTCCTCTGGAAGATAAACTCGTACGATAAATTGGCTGTGTATGTATTATAAATGGTGTATATTTGACACGGGTTGTCTCAGGCTATACACTTTGTTGATGCCCCTCTGTTTTGACATTCAAAACATCTCAGATTTCACAAGTTACAAGTCTTCTTCTGACATATCAATTGAACTTTAATAACCAATTAAAGTTCTTCGAAGCTGAACTTTTTTCTAATTGATTTTCTAATTGTCGATAATTAATGTTTCCTAAGGAAGTCCTTCAGATGATGTTTAATTTTGTGAATTGAATTTCTCTTCTGCGTACGTTCTTCTTGTTTAGGCAACTCTTGATGGCTTACCATTCGTCTTTCAAATAATCATGAAGGATTGATATCTAGCCACTCTTGCCCGGTAACTAACTTTCCATATCGACTCAGACTATATTTCTGTTTGATTTTAACCTAAGCTGGTGCCGTATTTACCAGATACACCGCAAAACAGAAGTCAGATTCATAATGCAGAAAATATCCCTTTCCAACCAATCAGAATGCTCGTTACTGCAACAGAGCATAAGTCACAGGAGCCGCTTGGGAAATCTAATGGGAAATTCGCCAGAATCGATGTTGATTGGCAACTGCAAAGCCCCGCCTCCTTTCCGTCTTTGCTAAGTCCATCATTTATATCATCATGAGAAAACTCTGTGCGTGACTTTTTACTGATGAAGATTTAGATATGATTTTCAGTAAAAAATAATTGAAGCAGTGTATGAAAATAGTGTTTTGTGAAAGTTAGTCGCTTCACTGCCCGTGGTTTGAGAAGCTGAATATGGGAGTATGCGACCATATAAACTGTACCCTTATTGCAGTCATGTAGAATAACAATGTCTGAATGAGGCACTGTGTATTCCTGAAAGCAAAATGTCACAAATGATGGACAAATGATGTCAGATAATATCGCACATTGTGAGGATAATTCCACTAAAATTTGTCAAAATACATAAGAGTCTATAAATTCGAAGCTCCTGGTTTACAGTTGTCAGACCACTTTACCCGATTGCTACATGATTTATCAATAGATTGACTCTTGCCAGTAAAATCATTTTTGGCACTTGAGCGCACCAGTATGTCCGCAAAATTATGGTATTTATAAAATACACCCCGTGAAGATATTCGTATTTCCTCTTAGGTCAACAATCACCATGATTGAATGTCGTAATTAGTAGTTTACATGCTCAATGTCGTAATTGACGATTTATTTGGTCGCCACAAGTATAATAGAAAAGTACCACACCAAGATTAGCCGAAATTGCATCGTATGACTTTTGGGGGTATATAATAGAAGAAATGTTCCAGAATTGCGATAAGAAATGTCATAGATGGGTAGGGGTGGGACACAATGGAAGCCTGTATTTTTTAATTGAATGTATATACATAACAATAGAAAAAATGATTTTTGATTGACAAGTCTTGTTTTTAGGTTTCCTATTAATGTAATTATTTGATTTTTTGTGTTATTAATTTCCCTAAAATTTTTGCAACTGTTAATAATTAGTGTAATGAAGGCGTTTTCTTTAATCAACTGAAATAAAATGTATGCAGCAAAATGTGTGGAAATTTGACTTGTTCGATTTTTCCGAAAAAAGTCGAAAAAGTAGCCACTGATTATATTTACAATTGCCAAACTAAACGCAAAATGACTTCAGCTGTTTGTATAAGATTATAACTAGGGGATAAGCTCTACCTACCACCTAGCTAGTTTTGAGTTATGTCAAATTAATGATAAATGTCTTGCGGAATTACTGTAATTGTAAAAATGACAATCGGTCTATTGAAGTAATTATTAGTTTAGGGGGAGCTATGAACGAACCAAACATGTGGCAGGCACGCGACGTTGTTGATGTATTATTATTTCGCATTGATATATAATTTGTATCATTTGAAATTAATTTGTATTTAACTATTGATTGCGCCTTTATTTGTTTTGTTAATAAATACCTCCACGAGCAATTCTGCTATCCTAGATTTATTTTAGATTTCTCCATAATTTATGCTTGGAAACATCTAGGATGAAGAAAATAACTTGACTGTTTTTATTTTATTTTAGGCAATGGCAAAATTAAATGGATGGAAAACGGGAATTATCCCAAATCTGACTTCGAATTCAGCAAATAGCGTTCTATATATATTTGACTGGAATTCGGTGATGATTTAAAACAGGCTTACTATGATTGCAGACTCCCGCGCCAGAACTGAAAAAGCGCGACTTCGTGTCCACATTGTAATTATGAGGTCAGCTTAAGTTTGAGCAACACTATGCGAGTCTGTTTCACGATTTTTCAACACCCTGCAAAGTGGTCGGAGAATCACTGTCGCCTACATAATTCTATTCATCATTTGTGTCGTCTACGATCCGAAATTGTGCACGAAGCTAACTTCAACTGATATCAAGAGTAAAAGTACACCCCCTTCATTAATTTGGAAACAAAAGTTTTCATTTTATAGCATATTAAAACCTGTAGATGTTTGAATCTTAATCTCGGTCTTTTAATCGCAGTTCTGAAATGTATGACTTTGAGGGATTGATTTAAATCGCCAAATATAAACAGACTTTTATAAGTGATGGGAAAGGGGCACTTCTGGTTGTATGGAAGGGGTGTATATATGATAGCCTGAGATAACTAAATACTACCCCATCATAATTGATATATGCGGTAATAGTGTTTTGAAAGCTGATTTCCACGGAGCCAAAGACCAGCAAGTTCAACATTGAAACGTTCTTTCTGATCACCAAAATGCTTTGATAAGTTAATGTTGATGCGGATTATGGGCTCGGGTTCTTTCTGACTCCAAAATATCGCGCATGATTGAAACCATAAGCGTGCCATTGAGCTTTATTTAGGATGCCCGGGCCGTTGGTTTGTACAAAGTGAAATTTTTCTCAATATTTCCTTGTGATTTGTAACCTTTCAGATAGCGAAAATGCAGCTATTTTCAAGTTATATTAGTAATGTGTGCATCAGAAGAAAAAAATGCTTTTATATTTTTCGCAAATTCCAGGGCTTCCAGTTCCTGGGTGTATATTGGTTCCTTTGAGTTCGATCGGTTTTTGAAAGGATCCTGATGAGTTTTTGGACTCTGTGTTCAGAGTAATAAATATGTAGTACGCCTCTGAGATTTGGATCTTTGGGGTTGTGTTGGTGTTCGGGAATTGAGTCAATAGATATCCCTGTTGGCAGTATTGTCATTTCATGTGCGGATTTTTTAAAATGCTCCATTACTTATAGTTTGAACCCGTCTGTATTAACAAGCTCGAGTATATTGGAACGCACAGTGCCTATTGTTTTCATCATATGTACTTTAATTTCACGCTCTGTGAAAATCGATCGGAGGGATGCTCCAAGACTGGGCATTCCTGAGGGTACATTACAGAGTATAGGGTTACAATGTTATTCTAAGGCGCATGGCTGCAAGTACAAATTCTGGTAATCATGTTTTAATTATCTTTTAACGAGCCTTAACTTCTGGTGTCTGTGCACTATATGAGGTCTGCGTATTGTTTCGAAATGGCCCATAGCATCAGCTACTGTGTCTGGTCTTGTGGCATTCTATGTTTCAGACACGAACTTTGATAACAGCAGATTTTGTTTTTTGTTAATATAGATTTGAAATTTCTGTATGATGATGTTGCAATTAAAGAATTATGTGTCGTCTTAGCAGAAACAACATGTACTGCATTAAAGGTATGTTGAAAACCCGTGGTTTAACCAATATAAAGTACATAAACGTGCACACAAAGTGATGACATCACAAATAAAAATCGATATATTTTTTCATATAAATATAAAACTACTCAAATCTGCAAATCAGTTTTCTGTCTACAAATAGGAACAAATAATATTATTAATATATAAATCTACGCAAATGTAGTTAAAACACCATGCATGATGAATGATATGTAGTATCTTAAGTCGTACCTCGATTTCCAGTTGTAAGATAAAGCTCCGAGTACTCCATATCCATACTCCAGACAGTATGTTATCGTTTAATTTCGTCTAGCCTTCTTAAAAACATATTTCAAAAATACCTGATTGACAGAAGTTGACGTTTTATCAAAAACGTAATCTAACTATTATATACATGTTAAACATATGTCTGACCGATGAATCCGTTGATAGCGAAAAGCTGAAATTTACACATGCAATTTAAAATATACAAAAATTATACGTGCAATTTAAAATTTATAAAATTATATATCAAATTTAAATCATTAGATTTGCTTAACGCCTCTTCCGAATTTTATATTTTGGTGTGTTTAACAATAAGCGAACAAACGTTTAAAGCAGCGGTTACCAATCCAAACAGTTAAAGTACTTTTAAGGTTTAATTCATACTTTTAGAAATAACTAATATATTGATCCCGCGATATCATTCGGTACGTATGTCTCTTCTGCTTTGGCCTTGCGTCCTTGATATGCAATATTTTGACTTTCAATGATGTCATTATCATTAGATGTTACAACTCGGGAGGGATAAATCTCATTTGTCGGGGGGGGGGGGGGGGGGGGGTTCTTGCGAAATGTCAAACTCATGTTTGATATAAGGTTATAAAATTGGGAAGAAGGTATGGAATAAAAAATAAATATGTTTTATCTAGAGTTTTTTCTCTACATAAAAACGCAATCAAATCGTGAAAATTACTAAAATAAATATATTACTGAGTTTTATAGCCACTTTTCATTAATAATATTTTTAGGACATTTTATATCGCTGAAAGACCTTCGTTGAATAGATCGTTCCATTCTAGAACTTCTTAATCAATTTCATTTTGCCCCCACCGCAGCGATAGAATAATTTGTTTGAGGAGGCACTCTTCTAAAACAGACCTCTGACCTCAAATTATCTATGTCTTTATGATTTGTGTATACCAGGGATATCTTAACAAAACGATCATTCGGTGTATGTCTATCAAACGTGAATACCTGTCGAGCACTAATAGAAATGTGATATGCAAACAAGGCACTTGCCTTGAGACACCTTTTCATACGAAAGCAAGTAAAATATTTAGGTAATTTTAATTTTCTTTTTTAATTTAAATTAATTAAGGATTTATAACACATTATTGTCCAAAAAGTCGATTCAATAGGTTTATTAATATAATAATTTTTTCTGCTGAATTGAATGGAAATTTGAATGAATGAAAATAATAGTATAGCGATTACTAAATGTCTTGATTTTATGTAAACGTAATGAATGGCCTTATATACATGTATATTAGTCTTTTTACATATGTAAGTGTGGTGGCGAAGACGTGTCCCAAATTGTGCTGTTTGCGAGTTACATGTAGTTGTTTTTTATCATAAGGTAATGCGCAAATATTTTATCTTCCTTGGTGACGCATTTCATTTTGCGAGTTTCGGACTCTCAAATTACACCATACTGATGTACTGTCCTATTCGTCCCTGTAGAAAATTGAGTCATCTATCGATTCATATCTTCGTCACGGTTGGAAGATTGTCGGATTTATAACGAGAAAAACTAATTGATGTGTTTCCTCAAACGGAACGATGCTCCCGGAGAGACAAAAAATTACCAAAATACTAAATTGAACTTGTTCTTCACATGCTGGATTATATTTGCAATTGATGGAGTGAAATAATATATTTATAATGCAAGCTTATGATTTCAGAAAGTGTATACGATGTTTCTCTGCAATTTATCCATCATCGATATGTATTTGTATTGTTTATCGATCTTATAATCAGTAATGGGAGAAAGAAGACAAACCTGTTTTTTAAGAAAAAAAATCATATAATGGCAACTTACAGCATCAAATATGTTTAAAGAAAGCTATTTCATCTGATTAAAAGATGCACGGTTCTAGGGTTTGCTGTATTCTTCATTTCATAATGATGTACCCCTTATAATATTTAGACATCTGCTATATCGTTGCAGTGGAAAATTTCTATCATCATTTTTCCTTATCATATGAAGTCAAGTGTAAAGAGTGATGAGCGACAAATGATGCCTTGTTCATAGAAAGAGATCATTTGATTGTTAATTAGTTGACGGAAGATTTAAGGGGATTATCATTAAAGCACGTGGCATAATTGTTATTAGTGTTTTAATGAACTTTAGTCCTTTTCTAAATGTTGTTTAAATATAGAACACACGACCGGCCGCGGAAAGATTTCGAATTGTTTTAGACAACGATTTCGGAACGTTATAAAATGTTCACTGTCGGGAGGATATGTTGTTACATTCATGTTTTTGAATCAATTGCGATTAATCATGATATGAAATTAAACTTTTGTACGTTTTTGCTCAGAGAAACAAGAATATAATATGCACTATGCCAAAGTTGATACTTAATGAAAAAAAAACTTTATATAATTTTTATAAATTGGTTACAAATGTTGATCTTCGTTGTTTTGTCTAGACAATTTCATATCTGGAATGTTTTTGCAGAAATTTCTCGTGAAATGAAAATAAAATCTACAATCAAATATTATAATATTGAATATAAAAGTCAGAATTCAATGACGTTTAATTGTCCAAAGTGGATTACTATTTGGATTTATACGGAATTATATGTCAAGTAGATCTGCAAATTGTGACTTCCGACATTGATAATTCCCCATACTAAAACTACTTTGTCTTCGCTATAACAATAATTTTGACCTTTAGTTTTATAATATTTGTAAACGTAATAATACATCTGTATACATAACATCTGATGTGCATCTTTTCGGTTTTTACATACAGGCTTGACTACTATATTCTTATGGCCTAAATCCAATTGGTTCTGGTCGGATAATACAATTTTATACAATTTAAAGGCATATGCATCGAGACGATCTGGCTGCATTTGACTCAGTTTGGTAATGTTCAACTATCAAATCCCGTTTGTTTTACTCAAGGACCTTTCATTGAACCCATTGCTTTTAGGGATTAGGAACACTACTAGACTTTATAATATGATTACATGTGGCTTTTTGAGTTACTAAGTAAATTATGTTGGACAACAACAGGGAGGTTTTGTGAGTCCATTACTTTTCTTAGCGAGCATGCATTGACTTTTCATGGTGAATGGTCACTGTTTATTTGTTGGTTAAGTCATACGGAATTAAGAACTTCTGACAGTATAAACTAATTATAAAGACAGACCCAGAAGCTTAAGGGCCCCTTATGAGTCCTGCTTAGTTAATCAAGTTTGAAAATATAAGTTTAATATGCCTCTTATCTTTGCATTGTAACAATACAAGGCTAGACAGAATCGGATATGTTATTTTATTATATAACGATAAGTTCTATTTTACTAAGCTCTAAGTGGTCACTTAACTTTTTGAGTTTTATTGCTCCGAACGTATCACATTCACTTGCAATCTTCTGTAATAAGTTCTCAGAACTTTATACGCATACGCAATTGAAGCTTTCTATGTACATTAACTTACTTTCAATCGGTTTCCTATTGGAGTGAGATTTTCTTGCAATGTTCCGTAACAATATGTTCTAATACCTCTACTTTCAGGCGCAATATAGTTCTCCATCATGTATTCTGACATGCATAACATTATCAAAATACAGACATAAACCGGGACATAAACATATTTCAAAAGGCAAAATCGAGGCCTGAAATAACATCACTGCAAAATAATGATGTAAACTAAGATAAGCAATTATCTTTGAAAATCAATTATTTGTAAGAGTAAAATCAAATAATAAAAGTTGTTTTATACATTTAAACAGGTATCTATACAGCACACTTGTGTCACAAGGGCTTGTAGTTCGACTCCTGAACGGGGATATCCTAGACGGAGTATTTTGATAGATACGTATAGCGGTGTTTTAATAGAATCCTGCTAATTTTTGAAATCATCTCCTGTATATCAAGTTTAAAAAATGATATTCAGCTATCTAGGCCATAAGATATCATTAGATATCATTTTTGAAAATTACCCGGAGAACAGGTACGAATGATATTTTCGAATTAGGTGAAGAAGAGCCTCCTAATAAAGTATTTAAAAAGGAAATGAAAGATATTTACTTTGAGCTCAGAAACAAGTAATAGTTGAGATGAAGCTTTTATTTAAAATGTGATAAGTGTAATGTAGAAATATTTTAATGAATGTTTATTAGTTCTTCATATTCCGAGTGTCAGAATACACTTTACATTCGTTTGACTTCGCTTCTTAAAAGTGAGCTTCATCTTCATAACTAGAAAACAATGCTTGTAACTAGAGTCTGCGTGTAGGCTACTGTCAGAGTCGAGTTATCTTTCTAAAAGATGCAGTATCAACTTCTAAAAATTGTAAAAGAGAGAGGTTAGCGTGAAATAGGAACTTGACTATTCAAGTTCTCAACAGAATGAAGAAGTGACATAAATTAACAGTTTTCGGATAACGGCAATTGTGTTAAGAGCTCTACTTCTCATCACAGTCTCTAAATCATAAGTATTTCAAGAAGGGTATTAACTGGGGGTGAAAAATCCTGTGTCATTCTGAGTGATTCCCACTTGAAGACGTCTGTAGAATGAGAAAATTGCAATCGCTTTAAATTCTAAATTGCATACTAATGTGCACATAAAATAAGCGAACAATTTACAAAATGTCGAAAATCGTAATTTCTTTATTTCCTCTGGCTATTTGAGATTAGAGCTCAGCCGATTTTAGTAAATGTATTAAACTGTACTCCCCGGCTGTACTCCTTTCACTCTTAATGATGATTAAATATGTATAATTAAATTTCTCAACTTGAACTCAAATTGTTATTTTTTCTCATGAAGAAACATTCTAAGAAAAGAGGGTAACAATTTTTTTTATCTCAACCGAAGATGGCCGAAGATCGAACTTGAAACCTCCAAGGAATTTGATTGGTCCATTGAAGTATCTTCGGCCATCTTCGTGATATAAACATCTTCGGCCATCTTCGTGATATAAGCATCTTCGGCCATCTTCGTGATATAAGCATCTTCGGCCATCTTCGTGATATAAACATCTTCGGCCATCTTCGTGATATAAGCATATTCGGCCATCTTCGTGATATAGGCATCTTCGGCCATCTTCGTGATATAAACATCTTCGGCCATCTTCGTGATATAAACATCTTCGGCCATCTTCGTGATATAAACATATTCGGCCATCTTCTTGCAATTGATATAAACATCTTCGGCCATCTTCGTGATATAAACATATTCGGCCATCTTCTTGCAATTGATATAAACATCTTCGGTCATCTTCGTGATATACATGTAAGCATCTTCGGCCATCTTCGTGATATAAACATCTTCAACCATCTTCGTGATATAAACATCTTCAGCCATCTTCGTGATATAAACATATTCGGCCATCTTCTTGCAATTGATATAAACATCTTCGGCCATCTTCGTGATATAAACATCTTCAGCCATCTTCGTGATATAAACATATTCGGCCATCTTCTTGCAATTGATATAAACATCTTCAGCCATCTTCGTGATATAAACATATTCGGCCATCTTCGTGATATAAACATCTTCAGCCATCTTCGTGATATAGACATCTTCGGCCATCTTCGTGATATAGGCATCTTCGGCCATCTTCGTGATATAAACATCTTCAGCCATCTTCGTGATATAAACATATTCGGCCATCTTCTTGCAATTGATATAAACATCTTCGGCCATCTTCGTGATATAAACATTTCCAGTCGTGATACATCGGAACTCTCCCATTTTTGTTCTCATGAAGTAAGATCCTAAGACAAGATGTGTTGATGGCACCAATCAGGATATAAGTGCTCCAGTGAAGTAGCTCTACTCGGGAACAGTTCGGTGGCAGAGAAAAATTATATTTCAACATATACTTCAATAAATACCGTCAATAGATACAATATAAGTATTTTCTGAATAGAAAACTCGATTAAACTTTGTTTTCATTAAAAATGAAATATTGGAATTTTGAAATATAACCAGTTTTATTAATACGAACGAGATTATGAAATCCATGAATTTAAAATTTACCATTGGTGAAACTTTATTTGCCCAAAACATTAAAACCCTTAAAATTTTCTATTCTGTATTTCAAAAAATAGCTAAATTAAATAGAGAAACTCATTATAACTAAATTTCTCTTTGATGTCTCTCAGACATATACAGTTTCTATTGCCTTCGGACACAGAAATACGATAGTGTCTCATTGTCCATCACTAGAATGATGTTAATAAAGTCGTATTAGTATCTATATCTATTCGAGCCCTGTTTGAATGTAATGAACCAAGAGGGAAAAACGTAAATAAATTTGAGTTTCATTTATTCTTTGGGTTAAATGTGAGCTGTTTGTGATGCCAACGTGAGTTAAATCCGAACTTCTGACAAGCACCAATAAAGCTACTTTTAATCCAATGTGACTTTTTAAATCAGCGTAATTATATTCACCAAATTGGTCGTATTCAATATATCGTGAAGTAACTGATTTTCCCCCCGGGAGCTTTACAAATCTGGACTCTTTCCACGTAAGACTAGACGTTTGATAGCGAACAAGGAGACACAATTATTCCTTCAAATTGAGCGGTCGGATTTCGAGGACCCCTCTCTGTGTTTTAAATTGAGGTAAATAGAAAAAATTGGGCAAACTTTGAGTAAATAGTGGTTTATGTTTAAACCGCACTGCCGTGTAGTTTTGATTAGAGGCTCTCAAGCCTGTGCAAAACATCTCATCCTGCTTCAATGTTCATTGAGTTGTCTCACTTTCAAAATTATTCTAAAAATGTTCTCAATTTGTAATATTCAATTCAAATAGCGTTTTACTGTATTTTTCACTAATTCAATTCCTTCGTGATCAGCTTTTAAGGTCATTCGACGTTGTGCAATTCTATTCACCGGTTGGTCGCTCCGGGGTAGTCGTATGGTTTTAAGTTCTCACCCGCAGCAGCACGGAGCGTAATGACAGGGTTATTAAAATATGATTACAATTATCGTAAATTAATTATTAATCCAAGATATAAGATTTCAATTTCGTTTGCCGAAAATGATTCAAAATGTCGATGAAATGCACCCCTAGTGTATCGACTATTCTAGACGGTTTCAAAATGTAAACCTTCACAATCTTCATTATGCCACAAAGCCATGTGGTCGTCTTTCCACTTGCACAAGAGGGGCGATGAACGGAACATTTGTTTGCATTTAGAGAATATTCAATTCTTCTGAATTAAAATATTAAAGTACATATATTACGGATGTATACAACCGATGGATGTTTCAGTCTAAATCACTTGCAATATAAAATGTAAATTAAACATGCCCCTCTCAACAATCGAACATATTGCCGTTCTAAAAGCAATTATTGTTCAAGTAGAAGCACAATTGGCCTCCCCTGTCATTATGGGAGCATCCTAACTGAATTAATTTAGCACTAAAACAACAGGACTCTTAATGTCATAGTTTACTTAGTTATTTCTACTTGATTTTCAACTTGTTTAAATTAGATTTTAACACTAACCACTCGACTATCGTATCATTCTATAATTCTTAGTTCATATTAAGTTTGCATCTTGCCTCTTAATTTTGCCAGAAATCGTCATCTCCGAAACAGGGAAGACATTATGGCTCGATACTACCCTGTGGCTAAGATAATAGTAGTACCCTCTCACAAGAATAGACAAATTTCTAGTTTCGACGCTTATCGGATCAAAAACTTCAGTCATGTTTGATCTACGGCAACGGTATCGCTCATAGCTTAAAATCGAGAGAAATATGCAGCATAAAATATCGGGATAAGCAGTATATGTACATTTTCTATATCCATTTTGCGAAGCTCCCGGATAAATCTACGGCCGCCCTACGACCGCCGTCAAGCAAATGTGACTGAGGCTTTAATGACCTTAATTTTGCTATCAATCTAGCCATGTGACTTTCGAGGACATAATGATTATAACACGCATCGTTGCGTTTTTGTTTGACATAAAGGAATTTGCCAGTTGATTATGCGCCTCAAGGGAAAGCCTCATCATCCCATATGTCTCATATACATCATCTATCTGTAAATTATGCAATGGTGCGTATAATTGATATCTCCCTAAGAATAGAAAATCGAACCACGACAATAACCAAAGGGATCCCTGATGCTCATGTGGCAGTATAGGCACAGTCGCAAATGTGCACAGTTGCAAATGCGCACTGTTTTGTTCAGAGCTGACAAAAAGTACGTATGATACTTGCGCAGTTTTAGTTTCTTTGACATTAAATGTTTTAATATTTTTATGTCTATAACAGATTCAAAATTTGTACGTTTAATGGTAATGTCGGAAAGTTGCATTTACCTTGTACTATCGTTCAGCTGTATCAAAGACGATTCCAATAAATAGATATATATAAAATAGAAATACAGTTTCTGATCAAACAATTTTATGCATTCTTTTTTCTTCCTATTCTTGATTGAATTAATTTGAACGTTTCTGCATCTTAAAATCATATTTTTATTTTTGATCTCAGATTATTTCACATATTAAATCTGTTTAATCAAAAGGAAAAAATTAAAGTTGGCATGTTTTGCCAAATTCCAGCATTTTTCAATTCTGCCACTGTTAGCGAGCAGAAAGTCAATAAAACCAAACAGGATCCGTATTCAAAAGAGCACAATGAAAGTAATTTCAAATACCATCAGAATCAACTTTTTGTAAATAGAATACAAAACTTAAATAATAAAATTGATTAAAATGATAATATTTTTATTAGCTATCATTATTCTCATAATGTAGAAGTCACCATTCTGTCTTTCATTTTCAATTAAAATATAAATGATTAACTTTTGATTGACAAGTTGCCGTGCCTTTATGCGTGTTTGCCCACTTTTATTTCAATTTTAAACAGCGCCAAATTATCGCGCATTGACCTTTACACCCCGACTTGACTTTTAAGTATCTTAATATATATTTGAAAAACATTCACTGGGGTTTAATTGGTACCTTGACAGGTGATACGGAACCCTCCCATCCCTAAAATGTTACCATAAACGGGCTTATTTCGTCATTTTCTCGACAAATGCGAATGGGGTCTTTAATTTTGGGGCATTTTCATGATATAACGAATGTACACGAAACATATGATCAAGATCTAGACAATTATCTTAACTCAACTTTGAATTTTGTATTCTGACCGAAGGACTTTTTAAATAGGATTGTTTATTAAATGTGTTGATGTGTATATTTTGTTAAGGGAAAATAATATATTAGTTGACAATGGTAACAGTGTGCAGAATACATGAATTGTAAACTCCAATATCGTATCTCATTTTATTTTATATTATTTTAATGAAAATAAGTATATGTTACTGCCATTGATACTTAAACGATATGCAATCTCTTTTATATTATTTACCGGTTATAGACTCTTCAGTGTTTTCGCGTTTGAAAGCCCAACATTTTATCTGCTGAGATTTTCTTCACTCTTAAGACTTAACGTACATTGTACTAAAATTATATTTTGCGCTAATATTAGTCTAGATTGCACTAAGACTATGCAATATCGTACTAGGGCAATACATTGCAATAACACTATATATTGCACAAAGATTATTCTATGCAATTAGACGATACAGAATGTTGCACGTGAATATTGATATATCGCATTCATCAATATTTTATGTTGTTGAAGAAAAAATTCATCTGAGATATAAAAATTACCAAATTTATTTGTATTCAACAATGTATGTTGATACGTGGTATTTAATACTTAAGCTTATTCTCGGCTGACATATACCCGACCAGGTGCTAAAATCATATACACAAAGCATCACATTAGTTTATTCTATATTCCACATTTTTCTCATATTTTGGGGTTTTTCGAACTCCAAGAAATATCAAAGATTCTAAGGAAAAATACTTTTTTATACTAATTTTTGTTCATGATATTTAAAAATCCAAATCCGAGAATTGAAGAAGGCGTGCTTCGAACTGCAAAAGTATTGCGTCTCCTAACTCATCAAACGTCGACGTAATTTCGCTGGAATGGAAATTAGATGCAGAAAATGTCAGCTCATATAAGGCTGCAATTTGTTAGGTGGCAATGCAAGGATTCCCAGGAGATAGCCTATCCCTGAAAATATATTAGTCGGGTCTTCTGTTATGTCCCTAGAATCTATATTATATTTTGTAGTCTTGATATTATATATCCACCGTACTTGCATCTGCATAATAAGACTGGATGTTGGTATTAACTCTAAAACTGCAGATGTTGGTTTTCTAAAAGTCTTCATATTTGTCAGGATGGCGAGATGGCGTCTGAAAAAATTATATTTTATATACGTGAAAAACAATAATTAAGTGTAGTTAGACACGGGGAAGGCGAAGTAGAAAACAGCTTCGCTAGTTGTTACCAAAAAATCCACTTGTAAAATATATTATGAAATCAACTCCAACAATACAATTTGTAACCCCTTTGACCATAGTTTTTGTATACCTATTTCAATATCCCTCGCCGGCTACGGCAATGTAGCTTTTTAAATAGATGGAGTTCGGTGAGCAATACAATACGATATGATACGATACGATACGACATAATACAATGCAATGCAATACAATAAAATACAATACACTACAATTTAATGCAATACAATACAATACAATACAATACAATATAATACAATGCGATTTTATTTCTAACATCACAGAAATATACTTCAATACCAAAACATCCCTTTACACATTTAACCTTGGTTAATGTTGTACAATACACTAATACAATGCAATCAATGCAATGCTTTACAATACAATACAATACAATACAATACAATACAATACAGTCCTGATTTTATTTCTGACATCTCAGAAACATACTTCATTACCACAAACACCTTTGTACATTTATCCTTTGTTAAAGATATGAATTTTTCTAGAAAATCATTACAAAGGACAAAATTATTTTTGAAAATTTACTATATTTTCTGTGTATGCGTCTACACGTTGCATATTGATGTTATATCATACATTCAAATATGTTTACCACGTTGGTTGCTTGTTTGACCCGCCACTCAGTCTAGTATTGTATAATCTAATGTTTCAAACCTTCAAAACGTCCACTTAAATTACAGATACAAACCAGGATTTTGCATTAGTTATGGTAGAATGCGTGGTCAGAAAGACCGGACGATAATTGTTTAAAAGTGTTTTATAAACGATAGTGGAGTCGAAAGTATTTACATTTTCTGTCAATTTGGCAAACGCAGATTACAAAATCAAAGGGTTACTGTAATATAATCAATTCTGTGTGTATATAGTACTTGTACAAATGTATAAACCCAATACAAAACACTACATGCATATTAAGAGAAACAAGAAAATAAGTGAAATATCCCGATGTAAACACATTTCTTTTCATCATGGATATTTCAAAAGTATTAATGGCAATGTTAAAAACAGCCTAGACAACAGTACGTTATTTCATGTATTCTGTCAATTGTAATTTTTAGAAATTAGGGAGTTTAAGCCTGCAATGTTTTTCACAACCTAAACGTTAAAGGAAAATATTTAAGCGACGCATTTGTATGGGCGATCGGTGATACATACAGGTTGGCGTTTCGATTTTATGTACACGATAAATAAAAATTAAAATACATTAACTTTTAGGCCTAACTTTAACTTCATTGGTCAAACCAAATATGTACCAAACACCAGACAAAAATCTTTCATTGTACACATTTCATTTGTAACATGGATATATATCATTTGTTTATTAAAAGTAACTGTTATCACATAACAATTATTTCCCTGCTTTTGTTTCTACCTCTTGATTAAAGTTGCCCTTTCTTAAAGTGACAAGCATATCAACACTACATTTCACGCACGGGTCATCGACACCCCTCATACTTTCTATCAAACATAAATTAATAATACTTCACTAATTTAATTGTTAAAGGGCATAAATCTTGCTTAGATCAAATTTCAAGCGATGATGACAGAATGATGGCAGGGCTGGGACTAAATAGAATTTTAATTAGTAGAAAGCATGATTACATTGTTACATTTAGGGAATGAAGAGAAAGAAGATCGAAGAAGCAGCTTAAGATGAGGAAAGACGCAAAAAAACTAAATACTATGAAGAAATGGAATGTTTTGGTTCGTTGTGGTGATTAACAGGCCCGTAGTCAGCTTTTGTGAAGGGGAGGGGGCTCATTTTACAAAATATTCAAGGGGGTCTCATTTAACATCTTTGGCCAAAAATTACTCGAAAGGTGCTCAAAATGGTGAAAACAATCTCGTCATTTAGGATTGCTTTTATGTATGTTTTTATTTTTACAGTATGTTTTTCTATACATGTTCCAGTATTGTTCTTCAGGTATACATGGAGAACGCAGATTCGATCCAATGTTTTTTAATTCTTTTAGTGGATTTGAAGTTTAATGCAAATCCCCTGTCAGCTGCCCTCTGAAATAACGGTTTTATAAGTCACGTAAGTTATACCCCGACACTGCAAATGGAGTAAACATAAACAACTCTGTACTTTCTACATTATTACAACAAACTACCGTATATTCACAAATCGACCATAGAGCCAAGCTTAAATAGAATTTAACTCCTTTTGTGCTAGTATAAGGTTAGCACTAGTGACATATCCATGCCCGTAGTTATGCCCGTTAGCATGATTTTTGCTGTAAAATGCACCCCCCTGGGAAAAGCTCCCCTTTGTTCTGTGAGGCAATTTCAATGCGAACGCTGAATGCGTTCTCAACAACGGACATGATCACACAATATAAAGGTATCTATATTAAACGAGTGTGCCATCTATATTCAAATATTAAATGCCGTCATATAGGCGACATCTATATATTAAGAAAAAAAATATTTTATACCATCACGATTAAAAATCATTTGGCTCGTTCAGGTGTATCATGGAAATATATGGCTCCATAAAATGATTGATTAGTTCCGATTAATGTATTTTGTGGCTCTTTTGGTTAGCATCATATTTGACAAAAAACATACAAAATTGTATCTTTTCGAAGAACAATAATAAAAAACAAAGTGGGCGAAGTTTTAACTCTTAATGTTTAAACTTTCCAGTGCGCAAAAAAGTTCCGACATTACGTTCATAAAAACAGTCTCTCTTAATCGACAACTCTCCCATTCTCTATCACGGAGCTGAGAATAAAAATGTTTTCTAGCTTCAACTAAAAAAGTTCATGATTATGAACATAATTATGCCATGATCATTTTAATATAAAATCAAAAAACACGTTAATCGTAAAGTAAACATACCACAGTTTATTCTGGGCTTCATTTTGATTATACTATATACAGGGTGATGAGTATCTATTGTTCTTCAATCTTATTGTTATCCATTAAATTAAACACTGGTATTTTTAATTCTGATATACACTTCCATGATCTGTAGGTTAAACTTTTAATAATTTTGACCTGGTTTAGATGATACATTGTTTTCCATTTGCAACATTTAAATGTATTACGTATTCCAACGCCATTTTCGATTGAATTTCGCAATATTTGTAGATTTATTTTCGCAGATTCGTTGTAGTTTTTATCTACGAGTTTTGGTACCCCTGCCTGGTGTAAAGCTACTGTTGTGAGTGTGATGTCAAATGTCGCGATGTTCGCCTTGTTACTATACATTAGGAGCCAGTTGTCAAAGGCGGGGAGACTAACAACGTAATCGGGCACGACTTCCCAGGGGAAACTTGATTTGCTTGTTATGATGTAATCCTGTGCGTCTATCCGTCCCGATTTCGAAACAAGAGCGTATGCATCAATTTCTTCATCGGAGCCAATTTCGATTTGTTCAACCGTCTTATTGTCAGTGTGATAAAAATTTAGTTCACGTCTCCCTCCGAATATTATATATCGCTTGATGTTACGAACTTTTGTGAATCGTTCTATTGCTTTGAGAGAGCCCATTAATTTTCTAAAATTAAACAAAATATCTCCGTTGGTGTACATGTAGAGGTCGCTATTGAATCGACTTTGTGACTCTATGAACATTTGTCTTAGAACTGGCCTTCCAGCAGCAGTCATGTTGGGTCTTAGTGTAACAAAATTCCATTCAAAATCCCTACCATTTTTTGCCTTTTTTCCGCAAGGCCCATCTTCTCGCAAATGGAACGTATCGCTTGCGAATATGACTCTCTCTGTCAAATCATTTGGAAACTGTTCATAGTTACAAAGTGTATTATTCTGTATTTGGAAACGAGTGTGTTCCCTTTCTGAAAATGTTGTAAAGATTGTTAAAAACTTTTGTGCGAAATTTTTCTGACTGGGCATTTTAATTTTACTATCCTGATGCGTGCCCCTATCGTGCAGATATTTATAGCTTGTCCAATTCACTTTGTCCTCTTCACCATTGTACATGTAGGGAGTATCCCGTCTATTGAGAAAAATTGATATCAGTATAGTTTGGCTCATTATGAAGACAACAAGTCCTACCAATAACGTATTGCGTGTTAAATTACTGACTTTCATGTTAAAAGTAAAACTGTAGACGTAACTGTTACAGTCTGACACAGTTAAATACAGAGTGGGCCGAAAACTTCTTGAATCGTTAAACGTTCATAGAGTGCCAAACCAAGCTCGAAGCATCTATCCCCCCAAATATCTGATTTCACAATCTGTCAAAGGGAATTATTGGGCACTCACCCCCCCCCCCCCCCTTAAAATGCTACTATTATAACAAGATGAGCAAGTCGGAAAAAACAGGCCAATTCTAGTCGTCAACTTTCCCAGCGTAAAAAATTGCCACAAAGGTTTATTACTTTTACGTTAAGTTAATAATCCATTCGAAAACAAATGCGATGGAACCGTTTTGACCGTATTATAACTGTTTTTCTAGTAGGCTAGGCTAGTAGGAAAGTAGGCTATCGTTATATAACATTAAAGAAAGTAGAACTCAGTATTATTCTGACAGATGGTCACATTTTATGTCTCACCTAATGAATAATTGGTTTTTTTTTCCATATCCATCACTCATTTGGCTCGGAGCATTGAAACCAGTTAAAGATCATTTCAAATACCATAAATTTTACCCAGACCCGTTCAGTTGTCTATGTACATACATGTTGGCGTAAGGAGTATATGAATCACTTACACACATCAGCGACATTATCTCATCATTATCATCATCATTTTTATATTACCATCGCAAGTGATGAGATATTGTTATAGTCTCCAACATTTTTGTGGCGTCGGTTTGTGTTCGGAGTTCGGCGTTCGGTGTCTGTAACAAATGGTAGGTGGTGATATTTTGCATTGTTAATACTACACTCCCCTTCATAAGTTTGGCAACCTTAGCTCCCCTATTGAACTACGTGTTAAAAGCCTCTTTACGTTTGAATTTTTATTGACTTAATCTTTAGTCACCTAAGTCAACTCTCCCATGGGAAAAATAAAAGACAGGAAAGACCAGATGCTAAAAATAATGGCCAGACATGTAGTGCAAACTATCATTTATTCAGAATTAAGAATGGGTTAGGTGATCCAAATAAACAAATGCCCTCCCAGGTTTTACGACCCCATGAAATGCTTTTATGTAAAGGGGCTTGTCGTTGGACAAATATTTACATGCTTTAATTGTTTGAAAAAACTTAAATGTGTAAAATATGTAATATTCATTATTTTGATGCAGGACTTTATTCAATGTTCTGGCATCACTATTACATCTTAAATCATAAATTGATATTTGTAATTGCTATATTTACAGACACATTTTGCTGCCTATGTCTTGCTGAATATTGAAGGAAAACCCAAAGCTGCTTACAAATGGAGTTCATTTTTCATAGTAATTCGGGGAGGGTTTTGCAAAGCCTGCCGGTGCCGGTGTGTAAAAGGGTAGGTGTGGTCCTATCAAATTATGGTCCTACTCTCCATTGATTTATATGGTGACCTAAATACAACTCTTTCCCTCATTATCTTATACGCAATCAGGGCCAGTAAGGGCCGTTAAGAAAGGGGACCATAATACCTGGGGGACCATTCATTTCTTTCACACCGGGTCATCTCTCCCTCACTACTATCCTCGCACTCAATACATACACCAAATACTGAATTATGTTTAATTGGCTTGTTGAATAAAAATGTTAAGTTTGAGGCCTTATCAGGATCAGCCCGCAGATGGCAAAAGCATCAATAATCCAGGTTTTAGCAGAAGGGTATACATTATTAATTGATCATATGGAATATTTTCAGAGCGCCCCTAAGCTTCAAGTAACTGTTTTAACTGCCTCACTTTCGAAAATGAACCTCAATGATCTATACAAGTTCCAAAAAGAATCACATTTTGAACACATAAGTTAGAACTGCCATAGTATAGCAAACCGTGTACATACAGGGGCACATTTAAGAATGATGTAGAATGATTGTATTGATTTTGTATTTTACGCCAGGTCGACCAGGAATTAATTTAAATAACTAGAGATCGAACGATCTAAGATTGCAAGCAATCTTACGGAGGCCCTATATTCGTTTCTGAACATTCAAAGGCCAGCCAAAGGTCAAATCTCTAATACAAGGTCATATATGAACTCCAGACAACTTGCAGATGATTTTTAAAAAAGGTTTGGTCGAATTAATGCAAGTTGAAATTTGACCTTGAAAAATTCCGAAATTTGACCTTTTTTCAGTTTTTGAGCTATAATATCTCAAAACTGGAGCCAAATTTTAATAGATAATCAATTGCTAATATGTGTAGAACCTTTAGTAGAGGAATATATATTCTGACTTTCATTTCAAAATATTGATTTGTAGTCTCCAATTTTGAGAAACTTAGAAAACACAGTTTGTGATTTCGTTTGATGACCTTGACCTTTGACCTTGCAAATTTTACTTTTTTTGACCTCAGAAGGTCTTTTGTGAATAAATATACCTAAATTTGAATCCAGAAAATCGATTTGAAAAATCAACTTTTTTGACCTTTCGGAGGTCACTGAAGGTCAACCAAAGGTCAAACGTCAAAAGTAAGGTTAGATTTGGAATCCTGAGAACTTGTAGATGAGTTTTAAAAAAAAATTGGTCAATTTGAAGCAAGTTCAAATTTAGTCTTGAAAAGTTTCGAAATTTGACCTTTTTTCAGTTTTGAGTTCCAATATCTCAAAACTGGTACACAATTTTAATAAATAGTCAATTGCTAATATGTGTAGAACCTATAGAGGAATATATATCCTGACTTTCATGAAAAAATATTGATTTGTAGTCTCCAATTTTGAGAAACTTAGAAAACACAGTTTGTGATTTAGTTTGATGACCTTGACCTTTGACCTTGCAAATTTTACTTTTTTGGATCTCTTGGGGTCTTTTGTGATTAAATGCACCTAAATTTGAATCCAGAAAATTGATTTGAAAAATCAACTTTTTTGACCTTTCGGAGGTCACTGAAGGTCAACAAAAGGTCAAAGGTCAAAAGTAAGGTCAGATTTGGAATCCTGAGAACTTGTAGATGAGTTTTAAAAAAAAATTTGGTCAATTTGAAGCAAGTTGAAAAAAGACCCTTTTTAACCTTTTTTTGACCTTCAATATCTCAAAATCAAGGCAAAATTTTCCTAGACGGCAAAAGGCTTTGACTAATAGAATACTAATAGCTATCTGTATGCAAAAATTCAGCCAAAAATATTGAAGTGTAGTGTCAGGATTTGAGAAACTTGAAAAAAACTTAGATTTGACCTAGATTTTGACCTTTGACCTTGACCTAGATATGAACTAATTTCCCGACAAGTCCAGCCCAGGTCCCTAATAGGACTATATATGAGATAAGTCAAAGCTAGCTGGAAGTTGGAGAAAAAATGCTAAAAAGAATAACTAGATTTTGGAAATTGAACGAGTTCAATTTCAGACTCCAGATCTAGACTTTTTTAGCCGAGTCATCCAGAATAAGCCAAGTCATCCAAAATAAGCTAAGTCATCCAGAAAAAGATGGATGGATGGATGGATGGATGAAAAGGGAAGGAAGGATACGATAGAATAGGAAGGAACGATAGGATAGAATAGGAAAGAAGGATAGAATAGAATAGGAAGGATAGGAAGGAGAGGATACGAAGCAAGGGTAGCTAGATAGGAAGGGAAGGATAGGATCAGAAAGGAAGGATGGATGCATTTTTCAATATTTTCTTCTCTACTCTTGACTTTCTATCAGGATACCATCAGATCGATTTTTCTTGAAATTTCAAAACGCCATAACTTCCGAACCGGAAGTCGGATCGAAATTTGATTTGCAGATTCGGATTCCTGACAAAATTGTACCCCTAATTCATAACTCATACGTTAAATTTGGCGAATTTTTATTTTGACCTACTTTTCGGACACGCCATAACTTCGGAACCGGTAGTCGAATCGAAATTTGGTTAGCAGATTTGGTTTTCTGGGAAAATTCTATTCTTAATTCATAACTCAAACGTTAAATTTGGTGAAATTTTTATTTTGACCTACTTCTCGGACACCATATCTCAAAAGTGGGTCAAAATACTTTCTGACGGCAAAAGGCTTACGCTATTAGCACACTCTTGGCTACATGTATACACAATTTCGAGGAATATAATTAAAGTGTAGTGTCAGAATCGCAAAAATAAGGATAAACTATGAATTTGACCTAGATTTTGACCTAGGGATTTTGGTGTCCAAATTTTGAAATTAGGTAGCCTTCGAGGTTCCCTTCTTTCATAGGCTTTCATTATTTTAAGCTGTAATTAGTCTATATCTTGTATTTTACACTTCAAAAAAATATTTTTTCCCATTGACATAACATGGGGGACCAAATTTAGCGATTTTTGAGCTTTCAAAATGTCATAACTTCCGAACCAGAAGTCGGATTGAAATTTGGTTTGCAGATTCGGATTCCCGATAAAATTCTATACTTAATTCATAACTCAAACGTCAAATTTGGAGAATTTTTTATTTTGACCTACTTTTCGGACACCATATCTCAAAAGTGGGGCAAAATACTTTCTGACGGCAAAAGTCAAACACTATTAGCACACTCTTGGCTACATGTATACAAAATTTCGAAGAATATAATTAATCTGTAGTGTCAGAATCTCAAAAATAAGGAAAAACTTTGAATTTGACCTAGATTCTGACCTAGGCATTTTGATGTCCAAATTTTAAAGCTAGATGAATTTTGAGGTCCCATTCTTTTAAAAGCTTTCATTATATTTAGCTGAACTCAGTCTATATTTCGTATTTTTCACTTCAAAAAAATCTTTTTTCCCATTGACTTAACATGGGCACCAAATCTAGCGATTTTTGAGCTTTCAAAACGCCATAACTTCCTAACCGGAAGTCCGATTCAAATTTGGTTTTCAGATTCGGAATCCTGAGAAAATTTCCCATAAGACTAATATCCTGGATATTTGATTCGAAGAACTTTTTTTTAGACCTCGTTTTCGGACACTGATATCTCGAAATCGGTTTGAGATATCAAAAAACTAAATCGACCCTAAGTTTCCTACTTTTTTAAAAGGAACACAATGAAAAAAACCCGGATCGAAAATATTGAAGGACGACCGAGAAAATCGAAAAAAGT